CGTTTAAACTAATATTTACATTTATGATTCTCCAGTCTCTGTATTACGATTTTCATTAGTCTTCTTTATGCAGGCACTCTGCTTCCTGTAGAGGCACTTTCTGTGTTGGCTATCCAAGTGCACAACTTTGACTGTGATTCTTTAATTATTTCTTATTTTTTATATTTTGGTAACCGACACCAAATTGTCAAATTCTTGCAATTCAACAAGTTCATTTGTTTCTGGTCAATGTCATCATGTTTTCTGTCATTTTTTTTTTATGAATGCTTAATCTTTGTTTTAAAATATTTTATTTCTGCAATGGGTATTCATTAAATTATTTCAAAATATTGATCCTTTATTATTTATTTTCCATTTCTACTTTGATCCTTTATGTGTGTTGCTACTTTGTATTTGTAATTTGTAAATGTTTCATAATATACTTCGTTTCTTTTTGTTTTTTTTACGTCCGAGTTTCCCAATTCTGCCAACTTCGAATTGTTGAACGACCTTCGTCTCCATTCATGTGAGTTACGTTTTCCTTTTCGTCTTCTATTTCCTTCTGAATTTCATAATACTATCGACGGATCTGTAAGCCTCATGATTGATTTATTAAATTATTTTTTTAACTTTATTTTTTAACTTGAGTAATTATAAGTAAAATAATTTATATATTGATAAATTAAATCATGGAAAATATATTTTTAATAGATAAAAAATTTTCAATATTTTTCATATTTATAAATTATATAATGAGATTTTTCCAAACCTGGCCCCGGTTAAGTGGATTGTTGTGAGACAAATCAAGTATCTTTTAGGGGTACTTTGGGAGTGATGGAATTAGTAAAATTCTTCATTCTAAAATTATGGTGTTATGTGTTAGCCTTTTAACAAAGGTAACGTGCTACTCGAATTTTATGGACACATATAGTTGATTTAGTGCATGCAAAAGTGTCTCCAAACCATCATATGGAAATGAGATAACTTAAATTATTGAAAAATTTTAAACAACTTTTTTAATTAATGACATAATGTAATATTTTTTAAATAATTAAACAATTAACAGAGGTTTGAGTAATGTGTGACTTAATTAATATAACATTTTTTAAACAATTGAAGAAAGTATATATACAATTTTGCAAAACTTTAATGGATATAAATGTAATTTATACTTATTTTAAAGCCTAATGTTTGTTTCTGTCTTGAACCGTATCCAGAGTCCACATCGGATTTCTTGAAGGCCAACGGAATTAGGGTTTATCAATTCCGGATCCACAGGTGTAAGGTTTGTATTATCCCTCTCTTCTGAATCCTCATCATCGTTGGTATTTTTATGGGTATTTCTCAATAGTTGGTATTTTGCATACTAAAGAGAAAACAATAACTAACTATAACTTCCAACAATTAGTTATTTTACACATTTTTTTAACTCAATATGTAAGTTTAGTCCTTTTTAACAATGATTTCTATTTTTCGTCAATATTTTTTCAACGATTTTAAATTTACAAAACCTATTAAAAATTCAAATTTAAATTATGCCTAACTCTGATTTTTTTAAAATTTTTAATAGTGTAAAAATTTTAAATATTCATTTTAAAACTTAGAATCAAATAAATTTATTACAAAATTTAAAATAATAAATTAAAGTTATTAACTTTAAAATTTGATTTTATTACATTTTTTTTACAACTTAAAATTCAAAATAAATCTACAATAAATTATTAAGTTTAGTGATTTTTATTCCATGTAATATATATATATATATATATATATATATATAT